GGGGCAGCAGATGGTGTGAGCGCTGAATCCCAGCTCTGCCTCCTTCTGACCAGGGGGAGCCTGTAACCCGGTCCTCCGTCCCTTCTCTGGGGAGCGGGGGTAATGGATGTGTCTGCTGCGGACACAGGCATCCCCATGTTCCTGGAGAAGAACTAAAGCAAGAACACTATAGACCAATATCTCTCATGAGTATAGGGGCAAATCTTCAACAAAATATTAGCCAAGTGGCCCTCGCCGGCGTGGCTCAGTGGACAGAGCGTCAGCCTGTGGACTGAAGGGTCCTGGGTTCGATTCCAGGGTTGGGGGCTCGATCTCCTGTGGGGGGCGTGCGGGAGGCAGCCGATCCATGATTCTCTCTCATCACTGATGTTTCTCTCTCCCTCTCCCTTCCTCTCTGCAATCAATAAAAATGTATTTTTAAAAACTTAAAAAGAAAATAAAAGAGAAAAGAGTACACCTTGTATACACAGACGGCTCAACACTGCACGGACCCCTCTCCTCAGTGAAAGGGCCGCCCGACCACGGCCTTTCCTTGATGACGCCGAGGCCACGCGACGGTCAGCCTGTCCCTTCCTCAGAGACAGGACACCGGGCGGCTGTGAGGGGGGAAAGGCCGAGGGACGTGCGGGAGGGGGTCTCAGGCGCCGGGCGGTGCTGGGGGGCGGGAGGGAGCCCACGGCACAGGCATCGGAAGCACCGCCCGCCCTGCGGCAGGAGCCGGGCGGCACCGATAGGCATCAGCACATCCTGTGCAGCACGCCAGCCCCTTCTCCGGTCAGACGCTTGGCCACACGGCTGCCCTTTCATGAGCCGGCCCGTCCCGTCCCCTCGGGCCCATCCCTCCCGCCTGCGCTGGAGGAGCCCAGCCGGCTTTGACCTGCGTTTCCTGAGACTCTTGTGGGGAAAGCAGAGCACAGACCCAGCCTGGCCTGCGGGCGGACCTGGGACGCAGGACGGGCTCCTGGGGAGGGGCCGAGGGGCCTGTCCCGAAAGCCGCTCTGTCCCCGATTCAGAACCGTGCCGCCCCCTCCCCACCCCCCCAAAGGGACCAGGGTCAGGCTGGGGACCACCACACACACAGGCCGGACCCAACACCCGACACGCAGCCCTGGCTCCACAGCAGCGCGCAGACCGGAGCTGTGAGGCACACGGAGGCCTGTGCCAGCTGACGGGAGCCCAGGCGAACTGCGACCAGCTCTCAATCCACAGACAACCAAAGCTCACGGACATCTGGAAAGCACCAAAGAGCTAACAAGAGCCCTGGCTGGTGTGGCCCAGTGGATAGAGCGTCGGCCTGCAGACTGAAGGGTCCCGGGTTCGATTTCGGTCAAGGACACATGCCGGGTTGTGGGCTTGATCCCCAGTGGGGGGGGGGTACTGCAGGGAGGCAGCCGACCCAGGATTCCCTCTCATCACTGACGTCTCTATCTCTCTCCCCTCTCCCTTTCCTCCTCTGAAGTCAACATAAAAACAAACAAATAAATAGAAAGCGCCAACAAGATGCTGAGGAGGCACGCAGCTGACAGCCCAGAGGGGCCAGGAGCCCCGGGAGGCGGAGCCTGTTGCATCAGCCCACGTCCTCCCTGGAGGTGGCCGCCCACTGTGGGGGGGGGGGGGACACAAAAGGGCGACGTGTGAATCTGAGAGTCTTTGCAGGGCGGGGGGGGCGCAGGACGCACCACGGGGGGGACACACACTGAGGACCCACTGCCTGTTTGGGGCTGTGACCGAGGGATTGGGCCGTAGGGTGAGGATGAGCCAAAAGCAGACAGGCACGACGCAGTCGGACGGCCTGTGGCCCGGAAATCTCCGGAATAATGTGACCCCAGGATTCCAGGGCTCCTGGGCACCTGGCAGAAGCAAACCAACCCAGGAATTATCCTGGGCCTCAACACACTGCAAAACCACGCTTCAAACACCAGGTCCAGCACAAGAGCTAAAGTAATCAGGCCCCGCAGACACAAATCGGGCAGAACCCGCAGAATTTGACAACAGAAACACGCCACCCGGACCCCAGCGACTGGAATGACCACAGACTGAACACGGGCCGCGCCCAGCCCCCGAGGGTCAGGACTTGGCTGCCTGAACCCTCACTTCTCTCTCTAATCCACCCTCATCCACTGCCCGCGTCCTGCCAGCCCCTCTGTCTGCCCCACCAGCGTCCAGCGGTCTCTTCTGAGAAAACAAACCTGCTGCTGCTCAGCCCTGTGTTCATGGCCTCGGCCCTGCGGCCCGTCCCTTCACGGCCTGCCACTCAGCACGACTGTCCTGGGTCTTATTCAGTGAGGGCCGGCTCCCACAGCCCCTGGCTGAGCACGTGCTGAATAAATGTCTACCAGTGAGAAAGCAGGAAGAGTAGTCCGCCTCCCGCCTCCCTTCATTTTATTTTTTAAATATTTGTATTGATTTCAGAGAGGAAATGAGAGGGAGAGATAGAAACATCAATGATGAGAGAGAATCATTGATCAGCTGGCTGCCTCCTGGATCCAGCCAACAACCAGGGCATGTGTCCTGACCAGGAATCGAACCGTGACCTCCTGGTTCATAGGTCAATGTTCAACCACCAAACCATGCCCATTGGGTTACTTCCTTGATTTAATTTTATGTGATTTTTTTTGGGTCTTTCCTTCCTTGATTTTAGAGAGAGAAGGAGAGGGAGAGAGAGGAGAGGGAGAGGGAGAGAAACATTGATTTGCTGTTCCACTTATTTATGCATTCATTGGTTGACTCTTGGATGTGCCCTGACTGGGGGTCGAACCTGCGATCTTAGGACGATGCTCTGAGCAGGGCCAAGCGTGGTCTTGATAATTGGTGAACTGACGGAGTCTGTGTCCCCCGAGAAGCCGTGTGTTGAAGCCCTAATCCCCAAGGTGATTGCATGGGAGACAGGACCTATAGGGTTCAGTGAGGTCATCAGGGTGGGACCTAATCCAATAGGACTGGGGTCCTATCAGAAGAGAAATGCAGACCTTGCTCTCTCTCTCTCTCTCCACCCCTTCTCTCCTCTCTCTCTCTCCCTCCCCCCTCTCTCTTTCTCTCTCTTTCCCCCCCATCTCTCCTGCTTTCCCTCCCCCCCTCCTCTCTCTCTCTCTGTCTTTATGTCTGTCTCTCTCTCATGCACAGAGAAAATGCCACATGAGGACACAGCAAGCCGGTGGCTATTTGCAAGCAGGAAGGCGAGGCCTCGCCAGAAACCAACTCTGCCGGCACCTTGACCTTGCTTGACCTTGGACTTCCCGTCGTTCAAGGCGCCGGGTCTGTGGTGCTGGTCGCGGGAGCGTGAGCACGAGCAGACTCACTCACACACCATTTCTGGGATGTCGCCCGTCTACAGACACACCCCCACGGGAGATGAGATTTCAACTCAAACGGACAAGAACGGGGAGGGAGTGAACACAGGACGTTAGAAAGGTGGCTTTTTAAAAAGTTTTATTTCAAGAACTTTTGTTGTTTTTACTGGTATTTCAAAAAAAGGTGGATCCAAGTACAAAAAGAAAAAGTCAGTTGAATAACAGCAGAGGCTTAGAAACCACAGCAGCAGAAGCGATGGACAGACAGACGCACAGACAACCACCCAGGGACGCGATTCTGCTCGGCTCCTGGCTGACTGTGTCTCCCTCCCGTGCAACACACACGAAGCATGCCATGAGACAGAAAAGGAAAAGCTGGACCGACAGCTACAAGGAGCGACCTGCCCCCTCCCCGAGCGACCCTGACCTCCTCCCCGCCCGCCCCCTCTCCTCGCCCCTCGCTCCTCAGGTCAAGTTGTTCTGAAGACAGTTCGCCTCCAGCTCCGCCGGGTCCCCGCGGCCCTCGAGCTTGGGCGACAGCGAGTTCTGGATGTTGAAGGGCTCCTCCTCTTTCAGGCAGGACTTGAGGACCTCCTGGATTTTGTGGGGGGCGCTGGGGTCGTCCTGCAGGAGGGACAGAGGTGAGGGAGGGGCAGGATGGAGGCCGAAGGCGGGAGAGGGACCAAATGACCGGCTCGGAGCGAGCGAGGGAAGAAAGCGTGAGACGGGTGAGCCACAGGGACGGGCCAGCAGCTGCTTTGGGGAAAGTCACCTTCAGAGACACCGGCCGGATACAGAGGGGACTGGATCAAAACACCTTTCTTTCTTCCTTTTTAAAAAGATATGTGTTTACTGATTTCAGAGAGGAAATGAGAGGGAGGGAGAGAAACACCAATGATGAGAGAGAAGCATGGACTGCGGCCTCCTGCACCCCACCACCTGGGGATTGAGTCTGCAACCCCAGGCATGTGCCCCTGATCGGAATCGAACCCGGGACCCTTCAGTCTGCAGGCCGATGCTCTGTCCACTGAGCCGCACCGGCCAGGGCTGCTTTACTTGGGACACTGTGTCTGACAGGACACTGTCTCCTGGTCCAGAGCACACACTGGGCCGGGTCTTCAGAAGAGTCGGTGGGACTTGTGTTGGGTTTCAGCTGGTCTTTAACGAGCCCACCCCCTAAGGACAGGGCTTACCCGGACCTATGGTCCCCCCTGGGTTCCGGGCCCACCTCAGCCCTAACCACTGCCTAGAAGTCTGCTGGCATTTAGGGTCCCGAAACAATGTCAACACGGTTTGCCCAGCGCCCCCCCAGGGCAACCCCTCTGGCTTCAGTGACCCCCAGGCATCCCCCAGCAATCAAGGCCCAGCTTCCCCCTGGACAGAAAGAGCAGGAAGACGAAGCACCATCATCCTAACCCTCCGCACCCCAATGGCTCCGCGAGACAGGGAGACGGGGAGAGAGGCGCCATCAAGCCCCCCTCCCCACGCCCACGGCCCCAACCCCAGCGGATCCCAGGGGCTGAGTGGCGGCTCTGCACCGAGACAGACGCAGGCCCAGCAGGCTGAGTGCGCACGGGAGGGGAGGCCCAAGGAAGGCGCCACCTGGAGGATAAGGTTACAGGGGAGCCGGCACGGGCAGGGGGTGCAGGGGGTGCGGGCAGCAGCCCGGTTCCTTACGTTTGGGTGCGAGCCCTCGGCAATGGTGGAGAGGGAGAAGTTGTCGTTGTGGAGTTCAGACGGCGTCCGGAATTTGCTGTTTGGACAGAAGAGAGAAGGGAACACGTAAGTGAAGTGATGGTGGCAAACTCTGAGGAGCCCACCGGCCCAGCGCTGCATCTCAGCAAACGCCGTGGCCAGTAATAGACGCGCCGTGATTGGCTGTACCACCGAGGGTCACTTCTGCCGTTTGCTTATTTATTTAAAGTATATTTTATTGGTTTCAGAGAGGAAGGGAGAGGGAGAGAGAGATAGAAACATCAATGATGAGAGAGTATCATGGATGGGCTGCCTTTTGCACGCCCCCTACTGGGAATCAAGCCCCGGGCATGTGCCCTTGACCGGAATCGAACCCAGGACCCTTCAGTCCGCAGGCCAACGCTCTATCCACTGAGCCGCACCAGCCAGGGCTAAACTTCTACCATTTAAACCACAAGCCGGTAGTGTTTTTATTACCGACTCCAAGCAGCTCATTCAGACGTTAGATAAAGAACTGACAACGAGATGAGCAGCTATGACCACGCTCCTGTCTGCCAGGCAGTCACACCATCTGGCCCACGGTGACTGTAAGACAATCCAGCTTCTGAGACGTTAATATGTGAAAAAGAAAAACACCCAAAACCGGCCCATGTGTCCCAGAATTAACGCACCGCGCAGTCTCTGCAGTGCACGGCCCGGGGCCAGGCGGGGGGAGGCGGGGGCAGCGTGCGGGCTGACCAGGCTGACCGAGCTGACCGGGCTGACCGGGCGCAGGAGCTAAGTGCTACGCAGAACACAGCCAGCTCTGGGGAGGCCTAGAGCGAGGCTCTGCCAGTCACACTCGGCTTCTCCACACCCAGGGCAGCCAGCGGCTCCTCTCTCTCTCCATCCTCATGCAGCTGGCTGTCCTGGCGGGGGGTCCCCCCTCCGCATCCCCTGGGCGGGGGCTGAGGAGCCAGGGCCAGGCTCGTGATCAAGGGCGCAGACACCCCACCTCAGCGCACGGGCCCTCAGCGCACAGGCACAGTGAGCAGCCGGGGCCCCAGGACGCTGCTGCCAGGCTGCAGGGGGGCCGAGCTCACCCAGCAAAGGAGCCACAGACGGCTGGTCCTCGCCCCGGGCCCAGGGCAGAGTGTCGGGCACATTCTCCCGGGAGCCTCGGCCGGGCGGGGACTGATGGGGCCGCAGGTGGGAAGGGCAGTGGGCACAGTTCAGAGAGAATTGTCTCTCAGCCCCAAAGGAGCTGAACTCCAATCTCCTCCTTTTGTTTTGTTGTTGCTAATCCTCACGCGAGGACATTTCCCGTTGATTTTAGGGAGAGAAACACATCAGGGTGCAGACTCACTGGGTCCTGCGCAGCTTGGTGTTCTCCGTCTTGAGCAGGTACAGCTTCTTGGCAAAGAACACGGTCACCATGAAGAGCAGGAGCAGCACCAGGGCGGCCGCGCCCACGGCCACGCACATCACCTGGAAGTCGGTGACGATGGACTCGCAGCGCGTCCCCTTGTGCCAGATGTAGTCCTGGGTGTTGCACCTGCAGCAGCAAACAGGGCGAGGCCAGGTGGTGGGCGGGCGGCCCTGCCTCGGCGAGGCCTGGTCTGTGACCCGCACTTACCTCCCCGCCTGGTCCGAGGACGCCCGGGAGCCGGGCTGCCCCACGCCGGGCAGACCTCGTAGCTGAGATTCCTGGCCCGGCCATAGCCACCCAAGCAGTGGGTCGGGCCGCTCTGGGGTCCATGACATCAAGGTAGCCAGGGCCTGAGGTACCGAACGCACTGGCCAGTCACTGGCTGAGGGGTGGCCAGGAGCAAAGGGAAGCCTGGCTTTCCCTCGCAGGCAGGGCTCTCAGCTGCCCCACCCCCAGCCCTGGGCTCCGGATGAAAGAAGATGGAACACAAGATGAACGCCCCACACATGCAGCCTGCTTGTTGCTGTGCAGTCCCCCCGGGTCATGCGGCGAACCAGACCCAGACGAGGCGCGCCCGCTCCCATCTCTGCGGCCCCCAACGCTCTGCCCCCCGAGCCTGGGTCCTGTCACCGTGAGAACTGCCCGGAGAGCATCGTGAGAATCGCCCCTCGGGTGGGTTTGGTCCTTTTGTTGAGTGACTTTCTCCTGCCCTTGGGGACATTCCCAGGCTCCAACTCTCCCAATGACATTGCTGTTTCCATGGGAACCAGGCTGCTTCAAAGAGGCAAGACGTGGAAGGATACAGAGGCAGGCAGAGGGAGGACAGGAGCGGCAGGGTGAGTGCCAGGCGAGGAGGGAGGACCGGCTCCTCACACCCAGAGGGAGCAGGGTGGGGGACGTGGCTAACGGGGATGCCCTCCCTCCCCACCGACCCGGGGCCGGGAGGCCGGTGGCGCTAGCCCACTGCTCAGGAGAAGTTCTGCCCGGCTCTCCACCCTGTCCTCTGCGGCGGGTCGGTGAGACAAAGGCGCCGCAGTCTGCAGCTGCGGCTCAGCAGCCTCTGTGCGTGGAATGCAAAACCGTTCCCAAGCCTCAGCCGGCCGGTGTGCGCAGCGGGGAGGGAGGCTGAGCAAGGGGACCTGGGGGGGCGTGACCTTCCGAGGGAGGACTCGGGAGCCAAGGCCACACGGCCACGCCGGACAAGCTGACTCTCCCACCTGGGAACCCCCGAGAGCCCCAGCAGGTGCCGGGGACGCTGCTGGCTCCCCAGGGGCAGCGAGGGCTCAGCAGGGCGCACTCTGGTGGGAGCTTCCTCTGAAGGTGAAACTCAGACCTCCACTAGGATGGGCCATGGTTCCCCACAGAGACCCCGCCTCCCGGCTCCATCCATCATGTGGTCTCCCCAGTGACGTGTGAGGAGCAAAGTCACAGGCGCTCCCATGTCCGGTGGCCCTTCGCCAACCACACGGTCTTGTCACCATTATTTCGTCCCTTTTTTTTGTTTGGTTTAAAGCATATTTTTGTTGATTTCAGAGAGGAAGAGAGAGAGAGAAACATCAGTGATGAGAGAGAATCATGGATCAGCTGCTCCCTCACACCCCCTACTGGGGATCAAGCCCGCAACCCGGGCCTGTGCCCTGACCGGGAATCCAACCGTGACCTCCTGGTTCATGGGTCCACCACTGAGGCACCGTGGCCGGGCCACCATTATTTCCTGATCACAGCAGCTCCTTCTGGCCGTGGCTCGGTAACGCCACTCAGAACGGGGGGGAGGGGGGAGGACGACACATCCTTCTATGAGTGACCTCAGTGCCGTGGTCATTTGTAGGAAACAACTTCACAGGAAGGAACTGGAAGTCAAGTTTTCATGCCAAAGGCACAACATTCATGCTTTCTACATGTTACTCTCCTGTCAGAACATCAAGACCTCCAGGATTTGAATTCTTCACACGCCTCCAAAAAGACCAAGAAAAAGGAACATTGGGAATGACACTTAAAAAAGACGTCCTGCCAAACCGGATTGGCTCAGTGGATAGAGCGTCGGCCTGCGGACGGAAAGGTCCCAGGTTCGATTCCGGTCAAGGGCATGTACCTTGGTTGCAGGCACATCCCCAGTAGGAGGTGTGCGGGAGGCAGCTGGTCGATGTTTCTCTCTCATCGATGTTTCTGACTCTCTATCCCTCTCCCTTCCTCTCTGTAAAAAATCAATAAAAAATATTTTAAAAAAGAAAAAAGAAAAAAAAACACATCCATGCCCTGGCCGGTTTGGCTCAGTGGATAGAGCCATTGGCCTGTGGACTGAAGGGTCCAGGTTCGATTCCAGTCAAGGGCATATGCCCCGGTTGTGGGCTCGATCCCCAGTGGGGGATGTGCAGGAGGCAGCCGATCAATGATTCTCTCTCAACATTGATGTTTCTCTCTCTCCCCCTCTCCCTTCTTCTCTGAAATCGATAAGATGTATTTTTTAAAAAGACACCCAGGCTCTAGAAACGCTCCTCCCAGGACCGACAGAAACAAGTCCCCGCGAGCCTGAGGCCAGGAGCGGACGAAGGCAGCTCCCCGCACATCGGCCCGACCCACAAATCTCCCAGGACAGGCCCGGGCTCCCGGGCAGGTTACCCGCCTCCGGCGAGGGCCGTGGACAGAGCAATCCCTGAGGAGGCATGGGCTGGTGCTGCGGACAGTGTCCTGAGAGCCACTGGACTCGCTGTGTCTTTTCTGGACGGTGTTCCAAGGAGACAGAAATCAAGGCAGGAGGGGGAAAGCCACGACCCAAACCCCACCACCTCTGCTGCCCCCGGTCAGACTGGCTCGGCTCGAGCGGCTGCTCTCTGCTGGGCCCGGCCCCAGGAGAAGGGCCTCACGCTGCCTGCACACTCGGCCCCAACTCAGCCCGGCCGCGGGCTCAGGGGCGTGGTCAGCCGTGGTCTCTCCTCCCGAGTAGGTTTAAGGGCGCACTCTCCCCCCAAAACTCCTCAAGCAGCAAAGGCCCCCCGAAACCCTTCCCTTTGCCTCTATTTAAAAATATATATATATATTTATTAATTTCAGAGAGGAAGGAAGAGGGAGAGAAAGATAGAAACATCAATGATGAGAGAGAATCATGGATCAGCTGCCTCCCGCACGCCCCACACTGGGGGTCAAGCCCGAAACCCGGGCCTGCGTCCCTGACCCGAATGGAACCCGGGACCCTTCAGTCCACAGGCCGGCGCTCCATCCCCTGAGCCACACTGGCCAGAGCCCTTGTGCCTTTAGAGTTAGTGGTTGGATCAAGGACACGACCCTGAGAGGAAACACGGTCTTGTCCCCGAGGACCCGCTCCACGACGGGTCCCGGGCAGCGCCTTCGGGCGGCACGTTCGCAGCAGCTGCTGCCCCGGGTCCTCTGACCACAGGGTCCCTCGGAGGCTGGGCCCGTCCCTCCCGGGGTGGGGGCTCCTCACACACACTCGCCCCGGCCGCACCCTCGCCCTCACCTGCAGAAGGCTCCCAGCTGCTCCACCAGGTA